TGTGTAGCTTTGGAGCCTTTCTAGCTCTTGTAGACCAGGCTGGCCTCAAACTCATAGAGATTCGCCTGCCTCTGCCTCCTGAGTTCTGGGATTAAAGGAGTGGAGAAGGGGAGGATTGTGGAGATCTTGGGGAGTGGGATGGTTGAGATGGAGGAAGGGCTGATATGGGAGCAGGAAAGAAGATATCTTGATTAAGGGAGATATTTTAGGGTTAGCAAGAGACTTGACTCTAGAGGGGTTCCCAGGTGTCCAAGGGGATGTCCCAGCTAGGTCCTTGGGCAGTAGAGGAGAGGGTGCCTGAACTGGCCTTTTCCCATAGCCACAGTGATGAATGTCTTGAATATCATCATAGAACTTTCATCCGGCGATGGACAGAGATAGAGACAGAGACCCACATTGGAGCACTGTACTGAGCTCCCAAGGTCCAGTTGAAGAGCAGAAAGAAGGAGAAAATGAGCAAGGAAGTCAGAACCGCGAGGGGTTTGTCCACCCACTGAGATGGTGTGACTGATCTAATTGGAGCTCACCAAGGCCAGCTGGATTGGGACTGAAGGAGCATGTGATCAAACTGGACTCTCTGAGTGTGGCTGACAATGGGGGCTGACCGAGAAGACGATGATAATGGCACTGAGATTTGATTCTACTGCATGTACTGGCTTTTTGGGACCCTAGTCTATTTGGATGCACACCTTCCTAGGCCTGGATAGAGTGGGGAGGGCCTTGGACTTCCCACAGGGCAGGGTACCCTGCCCTCTCTTAGGACTGGAGGGGGAGGGGGAATAGAGGAGTGGGAAGGAAATGGGAGGAGGTGGAAATTTTGAATGGTATTATTTATAAAGTAATAAAAATAATCTGCTTTCAAAAAAAGAAATAAAAATCTTTAAAAAATGAAAAAACCACTCTTGGGAATATACCCAAGAGAGGCCTTATCATACAACAAAAGTATATGCTCTACTATGTTCATAGCAGCATTGTTTGTAATAGCCAGAACCTGGAAACAACCTAGATGCCCCTCAATGGAAGAATGGATGAAGAAAGTATGGAATATATACATATTAGAGTACTACTCAGCAGTAAAAAACAAGGGCTTCTTGAATTTTGCATGCAAATGGATGGAAATAGAAAACACTATCCTGAGTGAGGTAAGCCAGACCCAAAAAGAGGAACATGGGATGTACTCACTCATATTTGGTTTCTAGCCATAAACAAAGGACATTGAGCCTATAATTAGTGATCCTAGAGAAGCTAAATAAGGAAAACCCAAAGAAAAACATATAGGCATCCTCCTGAATATTAACCTTCATCAGGCGATGAAAGGAGACAGAGACAGAGACTCACATTGGAGCACCGGATAGAAATCTCAAGGTCCAAATCAGGAGCAGAAGGAGAGAGAGCACGAGCAAGGAACTCAGGACCGCGAGGGGTGCACCCACACACTGAGACAATGGGGATGTTCTATCGGAAACTCACCAAGGCCAGCTGGCCTGGGTCTGAAAAAGCCTGGGATAAAACCAGACTCGCTGAACATAGCGGACAATGAGGACTACTGAGAACTCAAGAACAATGGCAATGGGTTTTTGATCCTACTGTACGTACTGGTTTTGTGGGAGCCTAGGCAGTTTGGATGCTCACCTTACTAGACCTGGATGGAGGTGGGTGGTCCTTGGACTTCCCACAGGGCAGGGAACCCTGATTGCTCTTTGGGCTGACGAGGGAGGGGGATTGATTAGGGGAGGGGGAGGGAAATGGGAGGTGGCAGCGGGGAAGAGACAGAAATCTTTAATAAATAAATAAATTAAAAAAACAAAAAAACCCCAAAACAAACAAACAAAAAAAAAAAAAACAAAAAAATGAAGAAAGGCGTGCGCCCCCACCACCTGAATTGGAATGCTTTTCTTTGAGTGTAGCTCAGATTTCAAAGGTGGCATCTCCTAGCATTGAGGTCAGGCCCTTGGCACTCAGAGCCTGTACTTCCCTGACTCTGTGTGACTGTCCTCATTGCCCTGACGTCAGAGAGAGGGAGAGAAGGGTGTTAAGTGACAGTGAAGAATGAATGCAGTTCTTCCACTGTGAGTGTCCACTTCTCTAAGCCTTGGTCTTCTTCCTGCCAAGGAGAGACAATAGCAGTCTCTCTCTCTCTCTCAAAAGTGTTTGTGCGATTCAAGTGCAAGCGAGATGCAAGTGAAGCTCTGGGCACAGGGTCTGACATAAGTGGGGTGCTCGGCAAACCCTTTGGCCCTTGGGAACGTGAGTGATGAGGGATCCTGTGATAATGGATTCTCCTGATGTCAGCTCCCTGCTCAATATGCCAGCTGTGTTCTTGTGTTGGAGAAGACACTGTCCCTAGTTCCAAGGGCCTCCTGGGAGCAGTGCTGAGCCCAACAGTGAGAGACTCCAGGGACAGAATGTCTAGGCTGTCCTCTAAAGTTCTCCAGGTTCTGGGTGCTATGCTGGCATGTGGCCCCAGGGGACTGAGTCTTTGTTCATGTCTTTTTGTCACCTTAAGAAGCTCATGCCGGCGAGCCCCTCTTGAGTCAAGTCTCTTGTCAACCCTAAGGCTCCCTTACTTAGGATGTATATTTCTCTGCTCCCGTATCCACCCTTCCTTTATCCCAACCATCCCATTCCCCCAAGCTCCCCACATCCTCCCCTTCTCACGTTTCTCACACCATTTCCCCTTAGCCCCATGCCGCCTCACCCCCAAGTTCCCAGTTTTTGCCTGGCAATCTTGTCTACTTCCCATATTCAGGCAGATGACTATATGTTTTTCTTTGGGTTCACCTTCTTATTTAGCTTCTCTAGGATCACAAATTATATGCTCAATGTCCTTTATTTATGTCTAGAAACCAAGGGAGATGTCCCCAGCTAGTACCTTGGGCAACTGAGGAGAGGGAATCTGAAATGACCCTATCCTATAGCCATACTGATGAATATCTTGCATATCACCTTAGAACCTTCATCTGGTGATGGATCAAGATAGAGACAGAGACCTACATTGGAACACTGGACTGAGCTCCTAAGGTTCAAATGAGGAGCAGAAGGAGGGAGAACATGAGCAAGGAAGTCAGGACCACGAGGGGTGCACCCACCCACTGTGACAGTGGAATGGATCTATTGGGAGCTCACCAAGGCCAGCTGGACTGGGACTGAATAAGCATGGGATGAAACTGGACTCTCTGAACATGGTGGACAATGAAGGCTGATGAGAAGCCAAGGACAAGGGCATAGGTTTCGATCCTAATGCATGAACTGGCTTTGTGGGAGCCTAGCCTGTTTGGATGCTCACCTTCCTGGACCTGGATAGAAGTGGGAGGACCTTGGACTTCCCGCAGGGCAGGGAAGCTGGACTGCTCTTCAGTCTCGAGAGGGAGGGGGAATGGAGTGGGGGGAGGGGGAGAGTAGTGAGGAAAGGGGAAGGGGAGTGGGGGGCGATGTGTGGGAGGAGGGAGAGGGAAATGGGAAATGGGGAGGAGGCAGAAATTTTTTCGACAACTAAAAAAAAAATAAACAAACAAACAAAAAAAAGAAGCTCATGCCGCCTGAGCAGTGAGTTTAGACTTTTTGCTGGAGGCCATTTCTTTCTAGGAGCTTTCTAACTGTTGTTCTAAGGGTTGGATGGAGGTTCTCCAGCCCATTACCCCCTCTGATATTGAAAGATTGGGTGACTCTTGGTCCGGAAACTTGTGGTCTGAGGGTGTGGCTGGAAAAGCTTGCTGAAAGTGTGAAAAGGGCTCTTTGAGCGAGAAGAGACTGGGAGGAAACAGCTAGTTCCTCAGTGTCCACTGTGCTTCAGACAAGTACCCTTTGAACTCTTACAACGATCCTGCCAGATGGTGTGGAGACCAGTATTGTCATTAACACAGGATCTAGACGCTCCTAGCAGAAATGTCCCTGGGAACACTTGTGGGGACAGGTTAGGTAATCTGAGGTAGGAAGGTCCACCTTAGTTGTAGGCAGCACCATCCCAAGGGCTGGAGTCCTGCACTGAATACAAAGGAAAAGTGAGCTGAACCAGCATTCATCTCTCTTTCCTGACTAAATACAACGTGAGCAGAGCTTCCATTCTTTTGTGCTCTGACTTTTCTGCTCTGATGGACTGTGAGCCAAGCAAACCCTGTCTTCTCCAAATTGCTTCTGTCACAAGGACACAACAAGTAACTAGCACCTTGGGTTAGTAACTTTGTCATGATGACGTTAACAAGTAGCTGGCACCCTGGGGTTAGTAACTTTGTCAAGATGACACACAACAAGTAACTAGCACCCTTCAGTTAGTAACTTTAATAGGATTTCGCTATGGAGCTCAGGTTGGTCCTGAACCCAGGCTTCTTCAGCTTTGGTGAGAAGAATGGACTTTGAAGGGAGAGACAAGAGATCGGTGTGGGCAGGAATTTCACAGAGCGGGAGCAGGATGAAGGAGGATGAAGTCATTTCTCAGGTCTCACTATTCTAGGTTTCAGCCCTGCGTCTGCCTTTATGTGCCGTGAGCCTGGACAAGTTAACCTCTGACTCTAGACCTTGTGCACCTGAGAGAGGAGGCTCACTTGTGAAGCTACTTTGGTGCTTGAGAAGAGGAAGAGGCAAGGGTATAACCTGTATAAGTTGAAATAAAGGAAGCCAGTAGAGGACACTGGCTGAAGTGGAGGCAGGAGGTTATTCTCTTCTCAGGGTCCAGCTCAAGAGAAGAGACCTTGAACTCCAGGACCTGTATGAACCCCAGAATCCTCAGTTCCCACTCATATTTTGAGCTGAATTCTGGGTGCCTGTTGGGCTAGGCTCACTGCTGACCCCCATGGGTTCCAATTTCCCTTGTGTCCAATGCAGCTTCAGCACTGCAGAACCCAGAAGGATCATTGGTAGCCTGTGACTCTTAGAACTCCACTATGGCTCCTCTGACTTTCCTTCTAAGTCTCCGGTCCCAGGTTCCCATAGGATTGGAGGCTCACCTGTGAAGAAACCTCATCTATGTGGACTTGAAGTCCCTTCCACAGTCATCAGCTTACCTTCACTTCTGAACCCAGAGTTCACAGGTTCCCATTCATCAGGTTTCTTCTTTGATATCCGAAAATGTCTCTGAGACTCATGGTCTGTGCTCAATAGTTTCTCGGTTTCTGTCCATTCAAGGGCCTGCATGCGGGCTGTGCTTGTGGTTGTGGAGGCAGAATTTTCTATGGGAAGGAGACAGTGGTTGTGCGTTTATTAGAGAGACAGTGGTAGGAGCCAGGCAAGCAAGGTTGGGGTCCTTCCTGCTTACCCTCATACCCTTCTCTATCGTCTCATGAGGAGAAACACAATGGCACAAGTGCTGCTGGGAAGCAGTCCTGCTACACTTTGAACTCTTACAACGATCCTGTCAGATGGTGTGGAGACCAGTATTGTCATTAACACAGGATCTAGATGCTCCTAGCAGAAATGTCCCTGGGAACACTTGTGGGGCAGGTAGGAAGGTCCACCTTAGTTAGGCAGCACCATCCCAAGGGCTGGAGTCCTGCACTGAATACAAAGGAAAAGTGAGCTGAGACCAGCATTCATCTCTCTTTCCTGACTAAATACAACGTGAGCAGAGCTTCCATTCTTTTGTGCTCTGACTTTTCTGCTCTGATGGACTGTGAGCCAAGCAAACCCTGTCTTCTCCAAATTGCTTCTGTCACAAGGACACAACAAGTAACTAGCACCCTGGGTTAGTAACTTTGTCACGATGACGTTAACAAGTAGCTGGCACCCTGGGGTTAGTAACTTTGTCAAGATGACACACAACAAGTAACTAGCACCCTGGGTTAGTAACTTTTTCACAGTGACATACCAAGTAACTAGCACCCTACAGTTAGTAACTTTAATAGAATTTCGCTATGGAGCTCAGGTTAGTCCTGAACCCAGGCTTCTTCAGCTTTGGTGAGAAGAATGGACTTTGAAGGGAGAGACAAGAGTTCAGTGTGGGCAGGAGCAGGATGAAGGAGGATGAAGTCATTTTTCAGGTCTCACTCTTCTAGGTTCCAGCCCTGCGTCTGCCTCTATGTGCCATGAGCCTGGACAAGTTAACTTCCATCTCTAGACCTTGTGCACTGGAGAGCAGTGGCTACTTTGATGCTTGAGAAGAGGAAGAGGCAAGGGTGTGATCTGGATAAGTGAAAATGAAATAAGGAAGCCAGTAGAGGACACTGGCTGAAGCTGAGACAGGAAGTTATCCTCTTCTCAGGGCTCAGCTCAAGAGAAGAGACCATGAAGCTTCGGGACGTAGACCCCTGGGATCCTCTGTTCCCACTCATAATTTCCACTGAGCTCTGGGTATCAGCTGGGCTAGACACACTGTTAACCTCAAGGGTTCCAGTTTCCTCTGTGTCAGCTTCAGTGCTACTTCAGCACTGCAGAACCCAGAAGGATCATTGGTAGCCTGTGACACCTAGAACTCCGTGATTGCTCCTCTGACTTTCCATTTAAGTCTCTTATCTCAGGTCCCCATAGGACTGGAGGCTCACCTGTGAAGAAACATCACCTTGAAGTTCCATCCACAGCCTCGCTTACCTCTGCTTCCGAATCCAGAGTCCTCAGATTCCGATTCATCAGGTTTTTTTTCTGAGATATGAATGTGTCTCCAAGTCTCTAGGTTCATGCAGAATTCTTCCCTGTCGTTCATCCATTCAATGAATTGCATGCTGGTTTGAGCTGTGGTTGTGGAGGAAGAAACAATGGTTGTGTGTTAACAGAGAGGCAGAGAGGCAGAGTCAGGAGCCAGGCAAGTAAGGCTGGGGTCTTTCCTGCTTACCCTCACATGCTTCTCTATAGTTGCATGAGGAGAAAGACAATGTCACAAGTGTTGCTGGGAAATGGTCCTGCTCTGTCACCATGAAGTTCACCTGTCCTGGTTCTACACTAGTCCTCTGTGTGAGTCTCTATTCCTCTCTGAGCCTCAGCTCCCTCATGTGGAGCTATATATAATAGTTATAATTACTGAACATTTATTGAATATTAGATTGTTAATATTCATTGTGGTTGACACTTTACTCCCACAGCCCAAGGAGACAACTGTTTACCTTTCCATTTCCCAGATGGAGACACTCAAGAGGCTGCAGTCAGCCTCTGCCCAGTTCTAAGGCTTGGGTTTCTAACTTCAGTGTTATCAGGTGCTCCTTTAGGAAGATGACTAGAACCCTGTGCTGACACCTCTCATAGTCCTTCTGAAAACCATCCTCTTCCCACTACAGCTTCCGAGTGCTTCTCCCCAGGGGCTCTGAGTACCACAGGAGCCTGAGAATTTGCCAGTGTAGGAGAGTGTGTGTGGGTTAGCATTCTTTCACTACCTTTGTCAAGGTTCCTGTTCCAGCCTCTCCTGGGGCCTGTGAACTCTTTTGACAGGAGGTTAGCCTGCCCATGGAAACCTGTCAGGAGGGCTCAGTGGTGATGAAGGGGTCACAGCAGTGGTGGGTTGTAGTTCTTGGTGTACTTACTTAGCATCGAGTCCTTCTCGGCCTGGGCTTTGATCTCTTGCAGCTCCAGGTCCATCTGTCTCCTTGTGTGCTGAGTACGTTCCAAGAACAGTCGACACCTATACTTAGCCTTCTTTGAGCCACTCGCCTTCCTGGACTGAGCTGTTCCCATGGTGATAGAGCCCTCAGATGATGCCTGGCTATGCAGCTAAATCCCACACAGCTTCACATCTTCCTTCTATTGTAACTCCAAGCAGAAGGCCAGTGAATTCTTGTCTCTGCCACCCATTTCTGCTTTGGGAAAGGGCATTTGATCAGAACTGATAGAGGAACCCTGGAAATAAGAGCAGAGCAGCCTCTACAGGGACAGATTGTCCTCTGATCAGAACAACCGAAGGACTCAGGTCTTTCCTGGGGATGGAGCCTGTGTGTCCAAGTGCAGGGGCTTGGTCTTTATAGGGCAGGAAAGGGAACGCTGGGAAGTGAAGTTTACAGTGAATGTGTTCTCTATAGTTTCATGAATGGTGCCAGTGGATGTTCTCTTTACTGCTTTGGCTTTCCTGTCAGGCAAGTGTGCTGTTATGCTGAGCCAGGGGTTTCTCAGTTTGTCTAAATTTTCTTCTTTTAGGTCATTAAGGTCATTTATCTGACCCTGAGGACAGATAAAAAGAAGAGGAGGTGTACTCTCTCACAAAGCTGCTTCCTGTGGGAGGGGGACGGTGGAGACGATAGCAGGCTCTGTCCTTGGATTTAAGGGGGTTTAAGTTGTGGGGTGGCTTCATGTAGCAGGAAAACAATTGTAAATTGATCTGCTGCAGTGGATCATGTGATTGCTGTCATTCACTCCTGGAGAAACCTGTGAAAACAGTTAATAGACAGGGCTACAGTGAGTAAGATGAGACCGAAGACAGGGGACCCAGTAAGCTCCTAGCCAGGGTACCCATTGTCCTAACATGGACCTAGTGATGGCAGTGATTTGATCCAGGAGGAACTTGTGTGAAACTTTTAAAGGGCGGGGAAAATGGAAGGACGAGGATGAGGAGGAATAGAGAGCTCAGGGGAAGGAACTGGATTGGGAGAGAACAAAAGCCCATCTTCAGGAAGATGACTGTCACTGAATCTTTATTTGGTCCTTAATTTAGTCTTGGGGCCCTGTCAACCAGCTTGGGTTTGTTGGTGCAGAAGCAGCGCTGTCCCTGGAGGAGGGCACAGTTCTACCACCAGCAGCAGACTAGAGATCTAGGTCTCTAACTTTGGAGAACCACAGCAGCAAAGACTTGTCTCAGGCCTAACTATGGAAAGTGATGGAGATGGGGAGCGGGAAGGTGGCATCTGGAGAGTGGAGGGTGGGGAAATGTAAGGATGGGAAAGCAAGAGGATGGAAGGATGCAGGACATGAAGCTTGATAGCTAGGAAGATTAGAGGATGCTAATCAAGGGTGAAGGGTTAGGGATAGATGAAAGGGTGTTGGGATTATAGTGACAGTAGCTGAGACATGCAGGGATGGAGGATACAGGGATGGAGTGTGCAGGGATGGAGGATGCAGGGATGGAACATGCAGGACACTCACTAGTCTGCAATCCTCAGATTCTTCCTTTTCTAGTGTCTCATGCTAAGACGATCAACCTTTCAGCCATTACTGTGACAGAGGATGAGATGGGGGAGATTCTCAGTCTGAGTTCAGGCTAGGCCTCGTGAAGGAATCTTTAGAAGTCTCCTGTCCCTGGACAAAACAAGGGGGAACAATCCAGAGGCAACTAAGCAGGAGGGATAAATTATCCAGAGAAAACCAAAGAACCACATGGACAACTGTGTGGGTTAGAGTGACCCAAGACTTTCTTAGAGGCCCCAATACAAGGACAAATTCTGTGTCCTTGTCCAGGAATGGACATAGCAAGACCGGTCTGACACTGGAGCCAGTGCCTTGGAAGAATTGAAGTTATAGTTGCTTGGAGCCTGACTCTTCCCCCTGGGCTGTGGTGATCAGTCCTAAACCAGCTATGTCTGAGGGATCCTGTGTTCTCTTTGCATATTGTCTGACTTAGCTCTCTGCTGACCTTGACTGACCCACCCATACCTCAAATAATATAAATAGTGCCGTACTAACTAGTAAGCTAGGTTGGCCTAATTTCTCAGCGTAGGCAAGTCCTGCTGGGCCCAGCGACTGCTTTTGTCTTCTTTACTTCTCATCCTCAGGCTTCTCACTATAACACCTCCCCACTCAGGACCTTTAATCCTGCAGGTTCACGACAGACAGGAGAGAGGAGGGTGCAGGATAGGCTATGACAGGAGTAGGTACATGAAGCATACAGGGAAATCCAGCGACCTCCCACCCACCAAGGCTGGCCTGCAGACTCTCCAAGTAGTGGCTCAAGCCTCCGTCCTTCCTATAAGGAAGAAGTCCCCATGTCTGCCACAGTATGCCTTAGTGCTGTCAGGCCAGCACTTATCTTCCCACAACTCAAATGGTTTTGTGGACTCTGTTGGTCCCACTACTCACCCTGCTTCTCCACTGGGCCCACTGATGCCTGAATCTCTGGCCAAACTATCTTCTTCAAAAGTGAAAGAGATTCTGGAAGCCAGGAACTCCCCCAGGAAGCCAGGCATCAGAGCCTGCGCAGATGGTCTTCCTCTGAACCCTGTGAGTGGAGGTTGAACATTGTTCAGCTCATTTCCTGTTGTGAAGTCTCTGCAGAAGCATCAAGTTTGAGAGTTTCTTCCTGGCCTGCAGAGGCCTCGCCTCCTGAGTAAAGAGCCTCACTTCTCTCATCTACTAAAGCGCCCCGCCCCCCAGGTTTGCCAACAGGCCCCAGTTCAGCAAAAGCTCCCAATCTCCCAGATTTGTGCTCTGGATCTCTGTACTTCCTCTCCTCCCTGTAGCCTGTCCAGTTCACAAGCTCTTCATTTCAGGAAGTAGCTGCCAGGCCCCAAACCCTGGGGCTTTTCTCACTCCTGGCCTCTCCTAAATCTCAAATCTGGTATTTGGTTCCATGTGTTTCCTTCAGGTTTATGGTGTGTGTACATGTTCATGTACATGAGAAATCACATGTGTGTGCATGTGTGTGAATTGAGAGCTTATGAATATGTTTAGTCTAGCTACTTAGACAGCTGGGGGACTTCCTGTTTCCTCCTCCTGAGCTCTGGGATCACAAGCCTGTAGCCACGCCCAGAAGGCATCTGTGAGGATGCTGTGGATCAGAGTACAAGTCCTCATGCTTGCATAGCAACTGCTTTACCCACTGAGCCATTGCTGCAGCCTGACACTGGCTTGTAAACAGATCTGTAATCTGACCCTTCTCACTGTGTCCAAGGAGACTGCTGGTCCAGCCAGCATCTTGGGTGTGTGGTCCAGCTTCCTACCTCTTCCTGCTGATGCTTCATGGTCTATTCTCAGTCTTGAATCTAGAGTCACATATCTAATATGTAAATTAGTTTAAGTTACCTCTTAGACTCTCTTATCATTCTACGAAATACTGGCTTCTTCAGTGACTCATGAGGCTCTACATGACATAATCCATCCTACCTTACCCTTTTCTGACAGTAGATACACTTTCATACTCCTCACTCACCTTGCTGTGATGTGGGAGTCCCCTCTTTGTGCTGTGATTCCCATTAATGAATAAAGAAACTGCCTTGGCCTGTTGATAGGGCAGAACTTAGGGAGGTGGGGAAGACAGAACTGAATTCTGGGAGGAAGAAAGCAGAGTCAGAGAGACGCCATGCATCTGCCGGAGACAGATGCTGGGAATTTTACCAGGTAAGCCACTGCCACATGGCAATATATAGATGAATAGAAATAGATTAGAATAAGAGTTAGCCAATAAGAAGCTAGAGCTAATGGGCCAAGCAGTGTTTTACTTAATACAATTTCTGTGTAGTTATTTTGGGGCTTAGCTAGTCGGACGAACAAGTGACCTGGCTCTCCTTGCAACACTGCTGTGTGTTATCTGCTCGACCTTCATATTCTTTGAACACACTAGGAACTTGTTCTCCTTTGCACTGGCTTCATCATTCCTTCGGGATGACTTTCTATTAGGTAGAAGACTGCTACCCCCTTTCAGAAACAGCACTGCCCTTTCAGAATTTACCCTCCTTTATTTTTCTGCTTAATACCTGTTATCACACACCATCACAAACTTGATCTGTTTCTGTCACTTCTACCTACAAAGAGAATGGAAACTCTTGGAAGACAGGGCAAAGTATGTTTGTTGATTGTTATATCCCACGGGCTCAAGTCAGTGCCTGACCCACAATAACAGCATGGAGGTGCTCACAGTCTCTGAGAAATGGTTATTTCTTTAATATTAATGTTTATTTATTTGTGTTTGTGTGTGGTGTGTGCATTTGTGTGGTGTATGTGTATGCATGTATATATGTGGTGTGTGATTGTGGTGTATGTATGTGGTGTATGTTTGTGTGTATCTGTGTGTGGCATGTGTTGTCTGAATGTTATGAGTTTGATGTGTTTCTTGTGGTGTATGTGTGTGTGTGTGTGTGTGTGTGTGTGTGTATGTTTGGTGTGTATGTGGTATGTGTGCACATGCCATGGAGTATATGTGCAAGATATAGGCCAGCTCTTAGGATTCAGGTCCCTCTTTCTACCATGTGTAACTGTGTAAGGACATCAGGCTTCAAGGCAGGTGCCTGTTTAAATGTAAAGTATTGGCTCAGACTCCCAAGACCAAGTTCTTAGACCATGTTCTCAGCACAAAGGAGATTTTTTTGCCCCAGATGAACAGAGGCCAGGGACAGGCAGAAAAGACAGGAGTTAGAGAAAGAGGGAGAAGAGGGTAACAAAGGAAAGGGGAAGGGATATCTGTCCTGGAAGACAAAGAACTGTCTCTGGATAGAAAGGTGGCAAGGTAGGAAAATGGTGGTTTATAAAGGTTCAAGGGGAAACCCTGCGTTAGGGTGAGGTGTTTAATTTTAATTGGACATGTTAATTAGGTGAGTCAAAGGGGGCTTTTGATTGTTGGGTTTTAATATTTTACTAGTTGGCTCTTGGTAGTCAGCCTCGAGAGGAGGGATTGGTACAATAAGGAAATGGACTTTGGGCGGTAGCTGCAGGAATATAAAGTAACGGTTTTTTACCAAGGCAGAGAGAACTGGGGAGAAGGGCAAGGCCTGCCAGACCCACTAGCTGGAGTGGGTTAGTGCTCCTTCACTGGCTGTGTGCTTCTCTTCTGACAAAACATGGCTGATACAGGAGGGCCATGCCCACTGTGAGTGGTGCTGTCCCAGTGCAGGTGGCCCTGGGCCATTTAAGAAAGCAGGT